ATATATATAAAGATTTTCAGACTTTTCTTGAGAGCAGTTTGCTCAGCTCCATTATGTTGAGCCACATCTATCCATAAAATGCAGAATTCACAAAAAAAAATCCTTATTAAAGGGATCCTTCATCCAAAAATGAAAACTCTGTCATTATTTACTGAACTTCATGTCGTTACAAACCTGCATGACTGTCCTTCTTCTGTGGAACATAAAAGATGATGTCTGGAATGACTTGAAGTTGAGTAAATTTTCATTTCTGGGTGAACTATTCCTTTACGGCATTTACTATATTTACTAATAGAAGATTGAACTGATAATTGCTTATTGATTTATTTATTTACATGTTGATGTTCTTTTTATGATTCTAATTAATTAACTATAAACTTTTCAATGAATCATACCTTATTAACATCTGGGTCTCTAGATATCCATGTAAATATACGTGACGCTCTCACCTCCAAAGATCTGCACTAAACCGACAGTAATGATGAGCCCCAGAGCCAGAAGCTTCCCCATGGTAAAGGCGTCCTGGATCCGTGTGGCCAAACGCACACTGTAGCAGTTCACCCATGTCAAAAACACTGCAAACATTCACACACACACACACACAACAACATAAAATATAATGTCTTGATTGATTCACTTCAATGCATGACTTCAAATTCAGTGTTTTTCTAACGATGCGACTAAAGTTTCATGTTAGAAATATGTCTTGTTGGCATCAGGAAATACTTGTGTGGTGACAGAAATGTGGGAACCTTGAATAATGAGAGCTAATGCAGCAATCACATGCTACAGAGCCACACCACTCCAGCACGGAGCCGTCGAGTGCTGCTGGCACGGTTCCAAGAAAAGAGTATTTACTTAAAACCAAAATTAAAATACTTTAAAAATAAAACAAAAAATAAATAAATAAATAATAAAAAAAAAAAAAAATATATATATATACATACACATCTACAATAACTAGAATCTTTGTAATTAATTAATGAATTAAGCAGTGGTGATTAGCCTTTTTTGAACCTTCATCAAAGAATCCAGAAAACCGAAAACAATCTAAAGCCATTTGACTCTGTCCACGTTTAACAGCGAGCTGTTTCGAGAAATAAACTGTAACATAGAGAAGTCAAGCACTCACGTATGCAGATAGTGGACAGCATGCGTGTGGCTATGTATGGAGGAATGCAGTATGGGAAAACAGGCTGAAGCACGTAGTTGGAGAACGTGAGAGCGATGACTGCCAGTGTGGTGGGATACATGATCAATACTGCACTCCATAACAGCAGAAACCTAGAGAGCAGCACAACACATTCAGCATATGACTTTCATTCATTGTTTAGTAGATCATACATGGCCCTGTCATACCCCATGAGACCGCCAAAGATCTCTGTGACATAGGAATAGTCTCCCCCAGATTTAGGGATGGTGACCCCTAGTTCAGCATAGCAAAGGGAGCCCAGAGCAGCTACGCCTCCTCCTAACACCCACACCACCAGCGCCAGGCCAACCGAACCCGAATGCTCCAGAACACCCTTAGGAGAGATGAAGATCCCTGAGCCAATAATGTTACCTGAGAAGAGAGAGAAATATGTGACTGTCATTTCCTGAACGGGCCCAGTGATGCATAGAGCAAGCCTGGTGTCTTTTTCTGTTCAGAATATTTCACATTCACAGCTTTATATTTTATTAGCCAATATAGATGATGATGATGGTGATTATTATTACATTTGCATAACCATCTGAATGCCACTTTATAAGCACACAAGTAAACACTCTTGGTTCAACTAGTGAACACAATAAAAACACACTGGTATGTATTTATGTATGTGGGTCAAAGACGTTAAAGGGGTCATATGATGTTGCTAAAAAGAACATTATTTTTTTTCAAATAAGTAACGCCAGATACTTTGTTTTATCATGTATTGACTGGCAGCTCTCCTGTCCTCATGTTGAGAGAAATCAGGAGTGAGTTCAGAGGCGTTGTGTGCGCTGTGAGAACATGATGTTACTGTAGATCTAGACTAAATGTGAACATGCATTTACTCATCTCACTTGCATAAAAACAGATTCAGTATTTCTCAAAATGAATAAAAACAGTCAAATGCAAACTCAGGACATGAAGCAAACATGTTAAATAACACAAATATTGTGGCTAGAAGGGATACAGCAAAAAACGGAAGCTAACAACACGCATTGAATTTATTTAATACACGAGTTTCACAATTTGAGTTGAATTACTGAAATAAATGAACTTTTCCACGACATTCTAATTTATTGAGATGCACCTGTAGTCATTATTGTTGTACAGTGTGAGAAAAATTACGCTATATTGATGTGCGCATGCCCAGTAGTTTTTGCCATCTAGCCTTAACCACAAATATCCTTTATGTATTTAATTCCATTTTATTCACCAGTATCTTTGCTGTTGACCTTCAATGATCAACCGTACTAATAAGCAAAAATGACTTTAGATAAACATAACATTTGTGTTTCTTTTGTTGTTGTTGTTGTATGTTTGTTTCCGAAGAGAGAGAAAAATGAGGCTAAGGCAGATGAGAAAAAGTAACGCAAAAGTAACATAACACATTACTTTCCATAAAAAAGTAACTAAGTAAAGTAATTAGTTACTTTTTTAGGATGTAACGCAATATTGTAATTCATTACTTTTAAAAGTAACTTTCCCCAACACTGAATTTAGACATAAGTAAACATATAAAATTAAAAAATATCTGCAAACTTAAGTTGTTGTTTTTTACACTTAATTGTTTGTACTGTATTGTACTTTGTTATCCGAGAATAGATTTTAAGACAGACAATGAATAAATTGATGAATAAATATGTAACTGGGGAATAAAGAAATCAAATATATAACGTAATACAGGAAAACAAAACGATCAGTTACTATGTTATTAACTAAATATACTAAAGAGCTATACTGTGTGTGTGTATACATATATATATATATAAACACAATTAAAACTAATAATAATATATAATAAATAATAAGCAATTAATAGTCTATAATAAAGGAAAATAAAGCAATCACTAGCTAATCTATGGTAAGAAATATTTAACATGGATTAAAACGCAAAAAAGTCCATAATGTGTGTTTTAGTGTTCATAAAATCACCAAATATAAATGTCCACATAAATGTGGACTAACAAAATGGCGAATATCGGTGATGCATTTGTCTTTATAAGTCTTGATATGTTTACATGTTGGAAGAATGGCCCACAATCAAAACGAAAACGAGTTATAAACTTTCGTTACCAATGATGATCGCGCAGGCGCTCAGAAGTCCAATCTCCTTCTTGAGCGTCACGCGCTCAGGGATGCCGGAGTCTCGTTTAAGCTCGCTGTCTTTCATGATGCTCCTCTGAGCCTCGGTCCTGTTCCGCTCTACTCCAACCATTTCAGAGAGCTGGGCTTCCTCTCTTCAGCTCGCTTCAGAGGACTGAACACGGTGAAAAGGCCGCGCAGGCGCCGCACCGCGCGCTCTCCGGATAGAATGTTAACGAGCGCGCGGCACGACTGATCCACGCACGCGGTGCGCATTGGCCTGGCGTTTCACAAAACCATCAATTGATACAACAATATGACCTCTGCACTTAAAAAAAAATTAAATTATACACACACACACACACACACACTTTTTTCCCCTCAAAAGGGCAGCAACAGATACTCAAGTTAACCTAGTTAAACAGTTTATGGCATGTTTACTGAGGCAGTTTCAGTCAATAAAAGGATCTATAGAAGAGCAGCTGAAAGGACGGGTACAGGGTGATCCCGCATGCACACAGACGTGTGTTTGCAGCGCAGAGGTCTCCTCGTTCGTCCTGAAAGGATCCCCAGTGTGGAATTTAGGAAGTCAAGTCGTGAATTTGTGGCTGTAGCTTTTCTCTGCATGCAGATAAAGGAGGCCCGTTTTCAGCTGATCTCCCCGAGGAAAGCCGTTGAGAGTGAGCTGCTTTGTAGTCCAGCAGGAAGGCTGAATGAAGCTCTGCCAGCAGAATCTTAAGTATTTGTTTTTTATTTTGTCCTTATGCTTATCCATTTTATTTTTAAATATAATAATAATAACTTCATCACAAAGTTTAAATGAAAATCTCAAATGATCAATGTGGTCTCAGGCCCAACTGTACAACAAACACATTAGTTATTAATATCATCCCTTGTTTCTGCAAATGCCCCATAGCATTTTTTTATTTATTTATTCTGTGGAACTCAAATAAAGATACGCAAATATATAAATGAACAGGAACAGAACAACAACTCCCACTTTGAAGTGGGATGGGGCTAAGGAACAAACACTACATGCAATGTTGTGAGTCTTTAGCGCCACCTTCTGTCTTTTTGTTGAAAGTCCTAATGTTAATTGCAGAAATTGATATAATGTGTGGCAAAATTCTACAATATCACTGTGTGTTTTACTACTTCGTAAAATATGGCAGTTTCATAGAAATACACTGAAAATATCAGCACGATTACATCCAAGGCATGGCTTAAAAAGTGCTGAAATGCTGTTTATTTGCATATTTTTGTAACATGCATTCCTATGTGAACTGCTTGTGGAAGAATGCGGTGATATGCTGGGCTGTGGCCTGTCCCACTATGGGCTCCAGTTCATGCACTGAAGCTCCACTGAGCTGATGGATACTGGGGAATCGCTGGAGGAGCTGCATGGCCTTCACCTTTCCAACGCCAGGAATCTGCTGAACCAGACTCAACACCAGTGGCTCCAGCAGTCTGCACACGCTCTTCCTGCGGAATGGGTTCTCCTTGTTCTCTTCAAGAACCTGCGGAGGACGAATGCGTTAGGATCTCTCAGTGAACAGCACTGAAACATATATTTTTACATCGATGTCTGAAGAACATATGGCTTTGCAGAAATGTTTTGTATAAATCCAACAGGATGATCAAGAATATATCTTTTATTAGGTGCACCTGTTCAACTACTCGTTAATGCACATATCTAATAAGCCAACCACATGGCAGCAACTCAATGCATTTAGGCATGTAGACATGGTCAAGATGATCTGCTGAAGTTCAAACCGAGCATCAGAACGGAGAGGAAAAGTGATTTAAGTGACTTCGAAAGTGGCATGGTTATTGGTGGTCTGAGTATATCAGAAACTGCTGATTTGCTGTGATTTTCACGCACAACAATTTCTAGGGTTTACAGAGAAAGGTCATAAAAAGAGAAAATATCCAGTAGGCAGCATTTCTGTGTGCAAAAATGCCTTGTTGATGTCAGAAGTCAGAGGAGAATGGCCAGACTGGTTCAAGCTGATAGAAAGGCAACAGTATAACTCAAATAATCACTCGTTACATCTCTGAACACACAACATGTCAAACCTTGAAGCAGAAGACCACAGCAGCTGCCACTCCTGTCAGCTAAGAACAAGAAACTGAGGCTACGATAAACAGCATTAAAAGCATGGATCCATCCTGCTTGAGTGCAGTTGTGCACTGAAGAGTGCAGCTTTCCAGAATACCAGTACATGAGCGTGATTGTGGATGTGATATTGATTTTATACAACAGTTCAACAAATGATAAGTTAATACTGAGTGAGTTACAATATTGTCTGTTTCGCCAACAAAAATAGTTCCAAAAAAGCCAGAGCAAAACTAAAATGTTTTGTACTTGAATGCATTTGTGCTTTTAAACAAATCAATGATTCAATGATCCGATTCATACATTTTATACAACAGTTCAACAAATGATAAGTTAATACTGAGTGAGTTACAATATTGTTTCGCCAACGAAAACAGTTCCAAAAAAGCCATAGCAAAACTAAAATGTTTTGTACTTGAATGAATTTGTGCTTTTAAACAAATCATTTGAGTCAATGATTCAATGATCCGATTCATAGTTTTAAAAATATTAAAAACGCAAAACACACCTGATGCGAATTCTTTGCTCTTCATTTTCTATAAGCAGAGTTAACAGACCCTGTTGTGTTTTCTTGTCATTTATTAAAAGAAGGTACACCGCCATCTTGTGCCGACTAAACTGACTTGAACGCACCTGACGTCGTAATTACGATTGTCAACTCGTAAGTACGAACGTCCCAGGAGGACTTGAACGCAGCATTAGACTGGCCTAAAGCAGCCATGGTTCCAGCACAAAAACACACTCTCATAATCAAAATACATCATTGTGTGTGTACAAGTATGCTATTACATACAAATAAAAAGATGTGGCATTCACTCACCAGCTGTGCTATGAGCTGAGCTGCTTCAGGAGCGGTGGACACAGGCAGCAGAGTCAAACCAAGCTCCAAAACCACAAACTTCTGCAATCCGCTGAAGTACTGCTCGCTCAGGTGAGTCTTTTCCACAATCACAATAGCCTGCAGACCGCTGTTCGCCTACAAGAATAAGGCCAGTTCGGTTTTGTTTGACCATAAATCATCATAATATAACAATTCCAAAATATCACAATCTGATCAGAGCTAATCAGTGATTTACATTTCTAAATCGGACAATATTCCTCCTGTAGCTGTTTCCTGCCACCAAATCGCTTTCTGACACATAAAGGACACAGGTTTTATTACTGAGACAGAAGTCCACGACACCCAGCTCCTCCTCAAAGATCGTCTTCACGCTCCCTGACAAGACAGAAGTTGTTTTAGCAACATTATTAAGTGCATTCAGGCTGCATCTCATATTAAAGAAGAACTAGACCAGACCATTGATTATACTAATATTTACAAAATTGCAACACATAAGACTATAAGCAAACACGGATCTTAATAAAGAAAGACATACATAGTTTGATGGAAATGCTGCATTAATTGATCACTGTACAGGAGAAGTAGAAACTGCTGATGAACCATGCATGTATATATAATGGTGTCTAAGAAGAAAATGTATATATATATATATATATATAGTTACTTTTTTTTTTTTCCCTAGGCCTGGGTAATGTATTGTTTAACCCAGGCCCAGACCACAAAATATTAATTCAGCAATAGAAATATTATAGCTATGGATATTATATTACAGCTAGTTTCCAATACAACACTTCTCATTTACGTTTAGTATAAATTGATGTTTTAAAATAACTAAAACTGAAATAAAATAAATATAATATATAGACAAATTTAAAAACAACAAAAGCTGATAAAAATGCTAAAAAAAAAATACACAACAAAATGACTAAAACTTTAACATGAAAGCATATATATGAACTAAACTCTCAGTGATACTAAAATAACACTGCTTGATTACTGAAACTGAATTTAGTGACCCAGGTTTGTACTGTAAAGCTGCTTTGAATGCGTGTACCTAGGATACATACAATATTAATTATAAATATTGCTATAAAGCGAAACAAACGTATCGGTCACGTTTCAATTCTACAAATGTTAATGATATCAAGTTAAATGACTAGTGTGAGTGTGAAAGTGTGTTTTAAGCGTGTTTATTTTCTGTTTGCTCTGTGAAGTGTTAGAAGTGAGAAGAGTCCAAAAACACACAAGTGTGTGAATAATACCAACCTTTGAGACTCCGCACGAGCGTCGAGCCCCTCCACCTCTCGTGAGTGAGTATGTGTCCGTACGGAGGAGCCGCGTGCAGGAGCGTCGCGGGAACCGGTTTAACGTTACACTCCATAACAATCAACACTGAGTGTAAACAACATCCGTACACTCCAACAATAGCATCCCTGCTTCTCGCTTGGGGTCGCCGTAGAGTTACAACGGATTCTTACATAATGAACGCTAATAAACACGACAACAAATAGCTTTTATTAGCATTTTATTTATCTTTAGCAATCGCCCACTTCCCGGTTTCACGAAACACACAAGTCTCGTCAAATCTCGCGCCTGTTTTAACCAGCAAATATCGCGATGTTTCTGTAGCACCCCGCTGCCGCTGATTGGCTGCCGTGAGTCCATTTAAACAGTTGAATCCTTACCGGAGCGTTTAGATGAGTGTTGGATAGACGTGTGTTGGGATTAATCTCCTCTGAAACTTTTATTTAGCAGACTCTGCAGTGCGTGTTGAGGTAAGTGCAGAGCATGTGTTAATACGGGCGTTCAATGCAATCGGAATTGAATTGTAAATTTGAATGTTATATATGAATGTAAATTATAATTCTTATATTAATTTTATAACATGCATTTCCGAATAAAATGCACGCTGTAGAAGTCCAGCTCAGTTTGCTCGAACCAGAGATGCACGGTGAGATGTGAGCGTTTAGTTTGGGTGGCCCTCTGTGATTCAGTCAGCTGGGAGAGAAGGATCTAAGCCCGGACATGTTTCAGCCAGACCTCACGTTACCATCAATGCTGCACACTTGCCTTTAATAGCAGGTGGAACATTTTCTGATAGACCCATTTGTAGAGTAATACATCTCTGTAAGTGACTTAGTGTTTGTTTTCCTTACGCGTTTATTTTGGCAACACATTGACATTGTTCTGCTTCTGTTGTAGCCTTTCTGCATCTTCTTCCCTTTAGTGTATTTGTTTTCTTTTTCTATCTTAAAAAAGTCTATCTTATCTTTTAATGCATTTATATACACTGCTGTTCAAAAGTTTGGGATCGGTACATTTTTTAACGTGTTTTAATCAAGCCTCTTCTGTTCATCAAGGCTGCGTTTATTTGACCAAAAATACAGAAAGACAGTAATATTGTGAAATATTATTACCATTTAAAATAATGGTTTTCGATTTTAATATATTGTAAAATGTAATATATTGCTGTGATCAAAGCTGAATTTTCAGCATCATTACTCCAGTCTTCAGTGTCACGTGATCTTCAGAAATCAGTATAATATATGATTTCTTGTGACATCTTTCAGGATTATTTGATGAATAAAGTTCAAAAGAACAGCATTTATTTAAAATAGAAATCTCTTCTAACAATACAAGTCTTTATCATCACTTTCTATCAATTTAACATGTCCTTGCTGAATAAAAGCATTAATTTCTTTCAAAATAAAAATACAAATACTGACCCCGAACTTTTGAAAGGTAGTGTATATTGTTTACAAAATATTTCTATTTTGAATAAATGCTGTTCTTTTTATTTATCAAATAATACTGAAAAAAAGAATCGCAGGTTCCAAATAAATATGAAGCAGCACAACGGGTTCAACACTAATAAATCCGCATATTAGAATGATTTCTGAAGATCACGTGACACTGGAGTAATGATGCTGAAAATTCAGCTGCAGATCACAGGAATACAATACATTTGAAAATATATTAAAGTAGAAAACCCCTATTTTAAATGGTAATATTTCACAATATTACTGTTTTTCTGTATTTTGGGTCAAATAAATGCGTCCTTGATGAGCAGAAGAGACGTCTTTAAAAAACATTACAAATCTTACTGATCCCAAACTTTTAAACGGCAGTGTATTTGTTGGTTTGTTTTAAAAATTGAAAATACAGCATGTTTTTAAATGATCAGCATGCTGCACATATTTAATGTGTTTTACGTTGCCAGCTAGTAAATGTTTTCAGGAGCAACCGAACGAAAGGGAAATGTTTGTGTGTGGTGTTTTACACATGTGCTGGTCTTCTGTGTGCAGGGTGGTTGCTGAGGATGGGGCTTTGGTTTGTGATGCTGTGGGTGTTCAGCATGCAGTGTGGTGAGGTGGATGCTTTCTTTGACTGGCTGAAGACGTCTGCACCCGCTCCTGCTCCTGCTCCTCCTCCTCCAGAGGAAACTATTGCCCCGATTCTGCTCCACGGAGAGACTCCGGCCTTTGAAATGAGTGTTGTTGATGAGAAGTTTTTGGCAGAAGCAAAGCAGATGGAACTCAGTCCACTGGATAGCTGCCATTTCCGGGTAAGCACTGCACAATGTATATGGCATGTTACTTTTAATCATTTCACAATCAACAATCAGTTAATTACAGGCAATAGAACAGCCATGTCAAGCCAATTTTCTTTAAATAGCGCTATATACAATACATACTGCTTCAAAGCAGTTTGTCACCAAATTCACCAAAAGGTGAATTTCACTTTTTTTTATCAAACTTATTTCAAACTTACCATCACAGTATATTGATATAAAAAAAGCAAAGGGAAAGAAAATATAAATTCCATTTGTTGTTATCAACATCATAAAATGCATTAAAACGTTACATTAAACCAGGTTTTCCCAAACTGGGCTTAATGTAAGAACCGCAGTGGGTTCTGCGAGTTGTTAAAAAAAAAAAATAATAATAATAATAATTCATACATATGAAAACAATAATGACTTTTGGAAATGTAAAAGAGGAAAAACATAATTAGGGAGAATCAAATTATGAATAATGTACTGCCATGTGTGAATAATATGGAATCATGTCATTTATAAAAAAAGTAACTAATCTGAATATGAGCATTTTAAAATGTAATAGTTTAATTTAGGGCTGCAACAACTAATCGATAAAACCAATTATAGATTATGAAAATCACCGACAACGATTCCCATAATCGATTAACCGAAAAAATAATCGACCAACTAATCGATTATCAAAATAATCGTTAGTTGCAGCCCTAGTTTAATTACAAGTACTTATCTTTTGGAATCTGATTACATGATCCAGATTACATGTAATCAGTTACTACCCAGCGCTGACTGTATCTAACAGCAGTATCAAGTATGCAAATGAGGTAAAACCAAGGACGCATTCATTTATTAGGCTACTGTCACCTTTAAGAATCTAATAAAGTCCCCATGGAATCACAATTTAAGTTTCGTGACTTTCAATATGAATGCATTAGCCTTAAGTTATGTATGTGAACGTATGATATGTAAACTGTTTTGCTCCAAAAGAAGTGTCAAAATTGGCATTTAGATGATATATGCATTAAAAATTTACAGTATTTCTCTACAACCAATATGAATCGAAACTTTTGACGACATCATTCTGCACTTCAGCTTCTCATCAGATTTTATGTCCAATCAAATATAGCATCTAAATTGTCTCTAACCCTCTACATTATTAAAAAGATGCTAAAGCTCTGTCTGAATTAGGTTGCTTGTACACACATTTACTAATTTTTGTGTGGTGAATAGCACGTAGTGCACTATATTGAGGATAGTGAGCGATTTAAAGGAACACTCCACTATTTTTGAAAATAGGCTCATTTTCCAACTCCCCTAGAGTGAAACAGTTGAGTTTTACCGTTTTCGAATCCATTCAGCCGATCTCCGGGTCTGGCGGTAGCACTTTTAGCTGTAGCTTAGCATAGATCATTGAATCTGATTAGACCGTTAGCATCTCGTTCAAAAATGACCAAAAAGTTTCTTTATTTTTCCTATTTAAAACTTGACTCTTCTGTAGTTACATCGTGTACTAAGACCGACGGAAAATGAAAAGTTGCGATATGGCTTGGAACTATACTCTCATTCCGGCGTAATAATCAAGGAACTTTGCTGCCGTACCATGGGTGCAGCAGGCACTACGATATTACGCAGCGCCTTAGTACACGATGTAACTACAGAAGAGTCAAGTTTTAAATAGGAAAAATATAGAAACTCTTTGGTCATTTGAGCGAGATGCTAACGGCCTAATCAGATTCAATGATAATTAACTCTAGGGGAGTTGGAAAATGAGCCTATTTTCAAAAATAGTGGAGTGTTCCTTTTAGGTATTGGCTGTTTTTATAAAAAGGATTGAGCTCTTTGATATGTCCTGCCATGAATTATTCTTTCAATCGGAAATATGCCGGCACACAGAAAATGAAGGTGCTTTTAAGGTGTTATTCTGCATTTATAGACGCATGTATATTATAATTTTTTTAATAGGTTGTTGCTCAGCTCAAAGCTACTTGCAGCGGCCTGTCAGAGGAGCAGCTGGCCAAACTGGGCGTGGCTTTGTTCAACTGCCAATCAGAGGTGGAGGGTCGCAGGACTTACCCTTGCACTGAAGAAATGGTATGGTCAATGGGCACTAGGGATGGGCGATACCCCTTATTTTGTTTTCGATACGATACCAATCCAATGCATATTGTATGCATTATTATTATTTTTGTTAAATAAAACCACTGGTAAATAAAACGCACCTTAGTATCGATATTTTTGTTTGAGTATCGATACTTTCGATACTCGCGTCAGTATCGATATATCGATACTTCGGATCGATACGCCCATCCCTATTGGGCACAACTTTGCTGTTTTATTGGTCCTAAATCTGCTGATCTGTTTGTAAGTGAAATACTTACAATATTATCTCTCCCTGCAGTCTATTAAAGAGTGCACAGCGGACATGGACTCGGATACGTGGAATGCATATCACATTGTCAGTAACCGAGCGCGCTCTGTGTGTTACGCCACGCGCCAGCAGCACTTCCGCAAGCGAGCGGAGCTAACCGTCAATGCCCTGATCTCCACCGCAACTAGTCAACTAGATGCTATGAAAGACCTAAAGGTGTGTTATAAAGATCTTAATTTCGTGTTTCTTTTGCTCCTGGTCTTACTGTGCACAATCATGTCATGTTTATTCCAAAGAAAGGTCGCTTGGGTGCTTCTGTCTCATTCTGAAATCTCACATTATGGGTAATATGGGTTGTGAACGCACTTTCATGTTGACTTCACTGTTTTATGGCTCTTTGTGTTTGTTGATCTGCAGGAGGGTCAGAAAGAGCTGAGGGAGATGACCGCCGCGTCACTGGACAAGCTGCTTGAGGGTCACAGCGCCCTACAGCTCCAGCAAGGGGCCCTAAAGGAAGGGCAAGAGCAGCTGGATACCTCCATCAGTGAAAATCTGCAGAGACTGGCACAGGAGAAAGTTCTCATCAGCACCGGGCAGCAACTAGTGGCTCAGTTAATTCAGGGCATTACACGGAGAATGGGTCAGTCATAGATAAATGCACTTGCTTCAAAGGTGACCTGTGAATTCTCACTTTCAGTGGTTTAATATCTTCATAGTAACTTTGCTAAAGGATTAGCTCACTTCCAGAATAAAAAAAATCCTGATAATATACTCACCTCCATGTCATCCAAGATGTTCTTGTCTTTTTTTTTTTTTTCCCTCAGTCGCAAAGAAATTAAGGTTTTTGAGGAAAGCGTTCCAGGATTTTTCTCCATATAATGGACTTCAATGGGGATCAACGGGCTGAAGGTCCAAAGTGCAGTTTCAGTGCAGCTTCAAAAGGCTCGACACGATCCCAGCCAAGGAATAAGGGTCTTATCTAATGAAACAATCTGTCATTTTCTTAAATGTATACATTTTAACCACAAATGCACATCTTGCACTAGCTCGACTTCACGCATTATGTAGTCATGTTGGAAAGGTCACGCGTGACGAAGGCGGAAGCACCGACCCAGTGTTTACAAAGGTAAAACAACGATGTCGGACACTTTTGAAGTTGGAGGAGAAAATGAGATGGAGTTTTTCGCTCTCCCCTTCCTTTCTGAACCGGAGCACACAGACGAAGAGCTAACCGCGCGCGACCTTTCCAACGTGATTACGTATTTGCGGACGCGCATCGCGGAGCTAGTGCAAGATGTGCATTTGTGGTTAAAAAGTGTGTGTATATATATATATATATATATAATGTATAATGGCCGATGGTTTCGCTAGATAAGGCTCTTATTCCTCGGCTGGGATCGTGTCGAGCCTTTTGAAGCTGCACTGAAACTGCACTTTGGACCTTTTCTGAACCGGAGCACACAGACGAAGAGCTAACCGCGCGCGACCTTTCCAACGTGATTACGTATTTGCGGACGCGCATCGCGGAGCTAGTGCAAGATGTGCATTTGTGGTTAAAAAGTGTTTGTGTATATATATATATATATGTATGTTTGTTTGTTTGTAAGAAAATGGCCGATGATTTGCGACTGAAGACAGAAAGACATGAACATCTTGAATGACATGGGGTGAGTAAATTATCAGGAGATTTTATTCTGGAACTGAGCTAATCCTTTAATGCTATCTGTCACTTAACTGGTCATATCTTAGTCATATTTGACTGCCAGTAGCTATAGAATGTTTTATATCTTTGTTTCATCTCCATTACACGTTTGCAGAGAATGTAAGTGGGCAGCTGAAGGATCAGAGTGCAGAAGTGCAGGAAGGACATCAGGCGATTCTTGATGACCTGGCTGTGGTCCGAGGAAGTGCTCAGGACATCTATGAAAAAATGGGTGATTACTTCTGAAATGATACATTACCGGTCAAACGCTTGGAAGAATTACAATGCTATTTTTTGTTTGGTTTTTGAAAAGTCTCTTCTGCTCCCCAAGGTTGCACTTATTTAAATGTATATAGTAAACCGTTATCTAGTGAAATATTACAATTTATAACAACTGCTCTATTTGAATGCGTTTTAAAATGTAATTTATTCCAAATAACGAAGGAGTGGCTTCACAACAACTCTGTGACTGTTCTTGAATGGCCCAGCCAGAGCCCTGACTTAAACCCAATTGAGCATCTCTGGAGAGACCTAAAAATGGCTGTCCACCAACGTTTACCGTCCAACCTGACAGAACTGGAGAGGATTTGCAAGGAGGAATGGCAGAGGATCCCCAAATCCATGTGTGAAAAACTTGTTGCATCTTTCCCAATAAGACTCATGGCTGTATTAGATCAAGAGGGTGCTTCTACTAAATACTGAGCATTTTTCAGTTTTTCTTTTTTAATAAATCTGCAAAGATGTCAACAATTCTGTGTTTTTCTGTCAATATGGGGTGCTGTGTGTACATTAATGAGGAAAAAAAATTAACTTAAATGATTTTAGCAAATGGCTGCAATATAACAAAGAGTGAAAAATTTAAGGGGGTCTGAATACTTTCCGTACCCACTGTATATAGTAAACCGTTATCTAGTGAAATATTGCAATTTATAACAACTGCTCTATTTGAATGCGTTTTAAAATGTAATTTATTCCTGTGATCAAAGCTGAATGTTCAGCAGCATTACTCCAGTCTTCAGAAATCATTCTAATATGCTGATTTGCTGCTCAATTATCAATTATTATTGGTGCCTTATTATTAATAATAATGGTTCTTATCAGTTTTGGGATCATAGGAAACAATTATTGAAACTGAATTTGCTGCTTATTTTTTAATATTTATTTATTTTGTGGAAACAGTGATGCTTTTTTTTCTGGGCTTATAGATTAGATAGATAGATGGATGGATAGATAGATAGTAGGGGTGCTCCGATTGATGTTTGATCGGCGGTCTCTAAAAAGGCCGATCTCAAAAAAACGATCTGATGACGCGCCTGCTGTGAGAGGTTTGGCTCGACATGCAGCTGCACCGTCTCAGTCTTTGTGCGGCACGGGTAAAACCATTATAATGCTTTAGGTGATGTACAATTCATATTTCTTCATTAAATAACTTATAAAGTAATTTGAAAACTTTCTGTGAGACATAATTTCACAAACCGCATGAGTGAATCACCGCGCGCGCTCTCTTTCCCTCTCAAAATACGCAAATGACTTTAAATCACATCGCGTCTGCACTATAAACGAGCTGACACAGGAATGGTCACTTGCACAATCGAGGCAGTGTCGCGTCGTCACTAAAGTTTATGAATTGCATTTCTTTTTAATTCTTGCCAGTGTTTAATCATTCAGCACTCGCGCGCTCTCCTGGAGACCGTGCGCTCATGCACACACGCATAATGCCAGGTTGCAGTGCGTATGCGGTGAGTGTTTTTTCCGCGCTCATGTTAACGGATTAAAGCGTTCACACTGCACACGGTTGCAGTGCGTTCCAGGAGCGGTGCGTCTGCTGCAGTGCAGCGATTGTTTCCGCTGCAAGCGCTGAATTAAAGTAACAGCGCATTGTTTGCGGTAAATATGAACATGGATTGACACGAAAATGTAGTAATTACACCATAAATGCATATAATTAAAGTCTACTGTGTTTCATAATCAACACAGGCTATGGATTTTTGGCTAGGTTTAAAGGAGAAGAGCACTTTTAGATAAACAAGGCAATACTAGATGGCATTCGTGGAGGTAGGAAAACAACGTTCTTTATAAACGCTAATTTTAAATGCTAAATTAAGATTTAAATGCAAAAGAAAAGGCAGTAGACCGTTTCTGTCGGAGGTAAGTTTTCATTTAGAATGTTTGTGATAATGTAAGAAAAGTAGTTTAAAGGGGTCCTATTATGCTCTTTTACGAAGTCTTGATTTTGTTTTGGGGGTGTACTAGAACAGGCTGTCATACTAGGTTGATTTGAAAAACATAATTTTCACATATTTTACATTATTACAACACTTCTCTCCCCAGTCTGGCATGAACGGCTCGAATAGTTCCTGTATCAAATGAAAGCCCGCCTTCTGAAATACGAAATGTGCTGTGATTGGTTAGCTGGGCCAGTGTGTG